CTTTGGGTGCAGCGGCTCCCAGTTGGGGCTGATGGGTTCAGTGTAGTATACTGTGTGTGGTGTTTGTAATTGGGTGATTGGTGGGGAGAGTGGGGCCCCCAGTGGAGACATGGGGGCTCACCAAGAAGGAAATAACAGAGGCCTGAATATGCCGGTCCAAGATGCCTTCTCCCCCCAGCAGTAGCAGCCGGGACCTGCTCTGTGCTCAGATCCAGTGTCCAGAGTTGGGACTCTGCTGCTGAGGTCCCCACAGTAGAGGTCCCCTAGCTCAGTCCTCCTACCTCCCTAGGGGGCTTGCCTTGATTTTCAGTCCTCTCTTTGTTTTATTATTATGATTTTTTTTTTGCCATGTCTTGCCCTTCCCTGATGACTAGCTCCACACCGGAAGGGAGGTGGTGCCCCTGGCCAAAGTAGAAGATGGTGGCTCTAACCTGGCTCCGTGAAATGCCCAGCTCAGTCTTCTCCTCTTCTCCTTTCATATTCTGAGTCATTCTCTTTTTCCTGGGCCAAAGTAGCCATGATGAAAAGGCCATGAACACAGGACAGACCCCAGTAGGTCAAAACTGCATTTCCAAAGGCCTCCCCTACTCCTAACAATGGAGAGCAAAGGGCAGTGTTGTCCAAAGGCTCCGCCTCTGTGTAAGATCCTGACCCAGGAGACCTCCTGCTCAGTCTGCATCTGAGCTCTGAGCCTTTGCCCTGGAAGTCCCAGCAATTGTCTTGAGACCACAGAAGCCCTTGGATAAGCCCTGTTACAAGCTTGGCATTGCCCCCTGGCACACATGAGCTCCCTCAGGCTTGCCTGCTCAGGGAGAATCTCCTTCTGAGAGAAAATGTCTCACAGCACTTTAATTTCTCAGCCTTGCTTCTAAAGTGGTCAATAAATTCATACAACAAATATTTATTGAGTACCCATTTGTGCCAGGCACTGTTCTCAGGAGGAAGGAGAAAGTGTGAAGGAGAGGAGAGATCTGGAAAATCACCTTGACCAGGCTTATGTCCGCAGCCATGCCTGGCCCATCTGAGAGCCTTTTCCCAACTCATACCTAGGGATGTCCTCCAGAGGGCCCAGCATAGATGTACCCCACTTGGCTTCTCAGTTAACCCTATAAGGTATACCTTAGTAATTTAACTGGTGCGGACCTGAAGTAGGACAAGAAACTAGAATATCTTTTGTCTCTGTGGGCAAATGGGAAGTAAAGCAAATCTCTCAGATTGCAGGGTTGACCATGTCCCCCACTGCTGCCTGGTGCAGGCCAGTGGATCCACTGAACTCCCTCTAAGTGCAGCAGCACACTCTATCTACCAGGATTTGTAGAGAAGCCACAGAACTTTCTTCCTGTCCTTCTCAACCTGAGAATTCCCACTCTTCCTGGGCCAAGAGCTGGAATGGCTCCATCCTCTCAGAGCCACTAGGATTTTGGCTCAGGCCCCACCGTCTGCAAGAACCAGGCATCATGAGCACACTGGATACACCTCAAAGGGAGGATATTTGTTCTGTGTTTTGCACCTGCCTACAGACACTGGGCTTCAGGGTGGGGATGAAGTGACTGGGCTTAGCTTGTGAGCCATCAGGATTTGGGGAGATCCCCATCCCATGGATGCTGTGACCTTCCTTCTATGGAGTAGCAAGCAGGGACACCAGGGAAAAGGGAACCTACAAAGCTGAAATCTAGGGCACTATTTCCTCCTCCTCTCCATAGAGAATAGAGACGTTTGTCTTGTCTGTCTTCAACCTATTTTTCCTTTTTTATACTTCTCATCCTTTCTGTGCTGCCTCTCCATCTGGGAGGCTGGGTAGCATAGCGGGGAAAGTCCTGGAGGGCAGTCAAGGTTCTAGGTGACCATTCTGACTCAGCCCCTGACTCACCATCTGACCTTGGGTTAGTCGCATTCCTCCTTTGGCCACTGAGCCCCACTTGTGAAATGAGCAGGGTGAACTAGATGCTCTCCAGGGTTTATTCCCACTCTGCCATCCTACCAATCTTTGTTTTCTCTTATTTTGCTTTCTCTGGATCTTTTCCATCCGAGGGTACAGAAAGTGCCAGGACCTGTTTCAGTTTTTGAATCCTGCAAGTACATTCCAAGACTGGCCTGAAATTGCATGAGCAACATCACTCTAAATAATTTTTTTTTTCCAAAGCACCTTACCAACCAACTGCGATGCTGTCCTGTTCCTTTTTACTCACACCCCTTCTCCTCTCTCGTCCCCACGCTCCCCCACCTCAGTGCTCCGTGCTGTATGCGTGTGCTCTCTGTTCTTGTATACTCAATAAAAGTGAAATAAATGTGTTTGATGCTGAATCACAGATTTCCTTGGTCTCCCTCTCTTTGACCTTGGCCACTGGTATGAGTAGGTATTATGGGAAGGACTAAAACTGGAGCGGAGATACCTCAACTTAGAATACTTGTATTTTACAAATGTTTGGAGCTCCTGGTGTGGCCCAGGACTGGGCTTCGGTTCTGTAGGTACAACAAACGAGGCAACCTCCTTGCCATCCAGGAGCTCAGAGGCTAGTGGAAGAAACAGACAACAAAACAGGTAACCAGACCAAGACAACTGCAGATGGTTAGCACCAGCAAGGAAATACAGAAGAGGGAGAGGATGGAGAGCCACTGAAGGAGGTCACTTTAAACTAGGTGGCCAGGGCTGAGTGGTAGAGTACATGTTTAGCAGGTGCGAGGTCCTTGATTTGATCCCCAACACCTCAGGGTCGGGGCATGGCAGCCAGCTGGGGCCTCCCTGAGGTGGTGATTTTTGAGCTGAATGAAGAGAAAGATCAAGTAAAATGAAGAATGTGGGTGAGAATGTTCTAGGCAGAGGAAACCGTAAGTATACATGCCCCAAGACCTGGAGGGTGTGTTATATGGAAGAACAACATGGGGTCCCTCCTCTTCCTGAAAGAAAAGCACCTCTGCTCAGGTCTTTTCCTGCAACACCCACCTCACTGGGAGCCTAAGGAAGAGTATGTTCAGCAACCCCCAACTTCAGCTTTGCTTACAACCTCCATATATACTCCATACCCTCACACCAACTGCCCATTGTTGACTACTCTTTCCTTAAAATGACTCACTTTGGGGAAACAAACTAAACTTATTTTAAAAGGAAACTATTACTTCCATAAAAAAAATTAGTGTCACTTGCAAATAAAGGAGGTTTCCATAAAAATAAATACAAAAAATATAAAAGTCAAAAAACATATCTGAGTAAAACTTAAACTCATTCCTTGTGCCATCTGAGGTACATATAGAACACTTTCCATTTTATTCTATCAAGTGACTCTCTACTCCACCTTTTTGTATTGTCCAAAATCTTACAGGCAAGTCTTTTTTCCATGTATATACTCTTTTTCAGAGTTTAAGTCATTTTGTGTTTACCATTCTAAATACTTTTTAAAACTTATATCCTAAGTATTTCCCTATAATTTCAAATACTAAATACGATTTTTTTCTTTGTAAAGGTAATTCATTAAATGACACAAAAGGCAATGCAGTAACAAATAATTCTTCAACATTCTCGGAATTCCTGTCCCTTGTCAAAGGCAATTGTTGCAAGAAACTTTGTGAACCCTTTTCTGAGTTTTTATAGGTTCCCTCTAATAATTTGTCACCTCTAGGGTTCTGGAACAGAACTTGGTTTGCAAGCATTGAGTCCCTACATAACTCCTAAGGACCCCACACCTTCTGGATCAGTACTTTTGTCTCCCATGGATGCAGGGCTATCTTCTCTGCTTCTTGGGAATAATCTAGAGTGCTTCAACTAGAACAGCATTTCTCAACTGAGTAAGGGGAATGATTCCTTCCCCAAGGAACATCTGGCTATGTCTGAAGACATTTTTGGTTTTCATATCCAAGGGGTGTGCTACTGGTATCTAAAAGTTAGAGCTCAGGATGCTGCTAAAATCCTACAATATGCAGGACATCTGTGAACCTCAAAGAATTATCTGACCCCAAACGTCAACAGTGCCAAGGTTGGGAAACCTTGATTTGTATGGACATGCAACCCCACAAGGTGGGATCCCTGGGTCATCATCTGTTCAATGCCCTGGAGTTGCTGAGAAGATGGTGAACCACCTGGATTAGGAGGCTCTAAGACCAGACCACAGAGTTCAGCACCTAAGTTGGAGTGGGGAAAGAGGGAGAGAGCTGAGGTTCTATGTGCAGGAAATGGAACTGACAGAATTTATGTGCATAATTGCAAAGGCAACCTCTGATTAATCTGCAGCAGTTCACCATGATTAACTATGCCTTCAGGACCTGGCTCAGTCTGCAACCTCCTAAGAGACGAATTTTGACTTAGACAGATTGGTGTGTTGAGCTGGCACTGAGGAAGTGTGATTGACAAGCTAAGGAGGAGCAGCACAGGGACAAGAATAGCCAGGTAGATACTGGTTTGCTTCCCAGATCTGCCACTCTCTGACTGCCTAACCCTTCCCTGAACCTCAGTTTTCTCTTTTGTAGATTGGGAATACTAATACCTATTTGCTAGGTTTAGTGTAAAGATCAAAAATATCTGAGTAGCTTGCTGTACAGATTTTGGTGTTGTTTTCCTAGTCCTCACAATTGCATAAGTCAACTCCTTGCAATAAATTACCTAATATCTACCTCCTACTGGCTCTGCTTCTTTGGTGGTCAAATCCTGACTGATACAATCACCTAGCACAGGAATATCATATTGCTGTCATTATTAATTAAATGCATACTTTATGTACCAAGATGACTTTGTGTTAACTGGGCAGCACCAGTACCTGGGAACAGGGGAAGAGAGGCTAGGCTATGATGGCTCAATCAGAAATATTCTGAATTAATTTGGTAGGAAAATAGGCTTTATTCAAAGCCAGCTTTGAAGGAAGACCACCTAGTAACACCAAGTTCCAGAGAAACAGTGCAGAACAAGACAGGCAGTTTCTGTCCCTCAGTGTACATTTATAGCCTGAATAAGATATCAGTTTAGGCTTGTAGAACACTGGGTGATCACTACCAAAGGGAGTAAGGTGGTGATGGCTGCTGCTGTTGAGACCGACTGGTCCTCTCTGGGCTGGTGACTGAGTTTCTGAGGCTCTTTCCTGGGGCTGAATGTGACTAGAAAGCTGGGACTGGGTGATAACGAGCCAGTTCTGACACTGTGACTCGAATAGACATTGAGGAGGTCAAAGACTGAGGTCTGGCTGGTTACTGGGTAATCTTAATATAAACCATCCTTCAGTGACCATGACTGAGACCAAAGGACAATTACTGGACATGTTTCTGGGAGGCGATGTCAAATTCATAGTTTAATGAAAGTTGTTATCCACAATTCAGGAGGTAAAATGAAAAACCAAGAGTAGCAAAAAAGCAACATTTGATGAGGCGGAACTTGCAGGCACGGATCAATCTTTCTGAGACCAGGGGCTCTACCGGACTGCTTTCTCCGTAGCTCTCATCCGACGCCAAAGGGGCGGGACTTCCGGTGTGTTTCCGCGGTCCCAGAGCGCGGTGTGAGGTGAGTGAGGCCTTCTGACCTCTTTTTCGTCTTTTGATTTTATTGTGTGTGCGACCAGGCCACCCTCTTTTCGGCTTGGAATGTGGAGTGCCCTGAACTAGGTCCGTGTCGCCGCGGCGACCGAGGGGGCCGGCGGTGGGAACTGTCTTTGAAGGCTTTTCTGTCTGACAAGACACCTCTAAAGACAGCGTTGCTAGGGCTTCCCCAGGCACACGGATTAACTTCTCTTTCTTCTTTAGACCTTAGCTGTACCTAACTTGGTTCAGTCCTACACTGCGTGAGTTAGGGTAAGGGCTTTCCCTAAACTGACTCTTTGTTTCTAGTATACAAAACGGATATTACATTTCTGTTAAATATGTGTTTATTAAGCGCCTGATATGTTTTAGGGGGTGCAAAAAGATTCAGGTTTCGTGGGGAAAGGGGACAGCCCTGAATCAAACATGCAAAGTTGCAACCGTATAATTGAAATGGAAGGGTACAAGGCACCTTGATTGTATCACAGGACATCTCACCTAGTCCTGGGTCAAGGAAGCTTCATTGAGATGAATATTGAGCTGAGATCAGAAATTTTTGACCGTTTGGTGGAGAGAGTTTTCTCTAATTTGAGGTTCTAAAAAAGGCATTGTGGTTGGAACAGAGAGCTTGTCCTGTGAGTCTAGTATCAAGCAAGCTGGAGGGGCTGCCAAGCCAAAGGGGGTGCAGGTTTTTTAGGTCACAGTAAGAATTTTGGTTTCCTAGAGCTACAGGGGAAGCCATTCAGGGGACTAAGTGTGGGTGGTGACCTGATTAGATGAATATTTTGAAAAGGTCTCTTTGGCTGTTGACTAGAGAATGGATTGAGGGAAAATCATTCTCTGAGTGAGAGCTGATGCTAGTTTGAAGGCACTGGGTGAATAGTTTGGATTAGGGAAGTGGAGAGAATTGTGATCGATAGTTGTGATCTTCTGCATTCCAGGGCTGTGAGAAACTCAGGGCTGTAATGAGGCAGATTGGTACACTGCAGAGTTTTGTGCGTATTCAGTAAACCTTTTCCCAGCCTCTCTGTGCCAGGCCATGTACCAGCTGCTGGAGATAATAGTGAAGAGGATTGAAGGATGGTGGAATTAGAATGGAAAAAAGTCATTATCAAGGAGGAGCACACAAATGCCACAGGAAGGTGGCTAATTGGTGAGCAGTTATTCTAAATGGAATATCTGTTCATTCACAAGTATTTATTAAGCACTTTTTGAATTCCAGGTTATGGATAGGAAAATGAAGATACAAATATTTAGAGCAGTGGTTTCCAAACTTTTTTGACTGTGACCTGTAGTAACAAATACATTCATATCATGACTAGACATGCACACAAACACACAGTTTCAGAAAATAATGCTCATCCTTACTACTTATAATGTATTCAGGTATTTTAAAAATTATACTCTTTTTTAAAACAAAATTTTTAGTTGGAGATAGACACGACACCTTTATTTTGTTTAGTTATTTTTATGTGGTGCTGAGGATCAAACCCAGTGTCTCACAAATGGTAGGCAGGTACTCTACCACTGAACTACAAACCCTGCTCCAAGAATTCTGCCCTTTTTATTTAAAAATATAGTGCTGATCAAAACCTTCTAAATAGACTTCTTAACTCATTTATGGGTTGTAACTTACAGTTTGGAAAAAATGCTAATTTAGAGTGAGAGTCATTTGTTGTCATTTTTGAGTAAAGGCAATAAAATATGCTCCCAGTATTTTTGGAAAAGTTTTGGTCTTCCCACACTGTTTTATTTGTTTAAAATAAAAAGCGATATCTTGGTGCAGTGGCGCATGCCTGTATTCCTAGTGACTCAGTAGTCTGGGGTAGGAGGGTCCCAAGTTTGAGGTCAGTCTCTGTAACTTAATGAGACCCTGTCTTTAAATAAAAAGGACTAGGGATATAGCTCAGGAGTAGAGTGCCCCTGGGTTCAATCCCCAGTACCGCAAAAAAAAAAAAAAAAAAAAATAGTGAACAGAACTAAACAAACAGTTGGTTTTTCTGTTTGTGAAAATTTGAGGTCTTGTTTGTACTTCCAGCTAGATTGGAAGTACCTGAAAGGCAGTAACTGTCTTATTCTTTGGATTTTAGGGCCTAGCAAAGTGAGGGTACTTGGTGAATATTTGTCAAATTGAATAGGTAGGTGAATCATGAATAGAAGTTTAGATAATTGGTTGGAACCATTCTTAGAAATACCATAGAGGCATCATCTGCCTACAGAGATTTTTTTTTCTCAGTTATGTTTTGTTCTGTTTAATCAGTGTGTCCTCAAAGGAGGTTGAAGTAGGCAAAATAAGTTTTCTAGCCTCCTTTGTCTCTAAATACTGATCCTAGGCCACTCCTGCCACCTGTATTCATTCTGCCACAGAATGTGCATCTTTGGGAAGTTGCTTCACTCCCTGGAGTTTAGGGGGTTTTATGAGTTAAAAAAAAAAGAAGAAGAAGAAGAAAAAGAAGGGATTTGTGGTTGAAAAGCTCTACACTCCTCAAATCTTTTGTGCCTCGTAGATGCTGATGGGAAATTGGATATGTACTTGATTTAATCATCCTTCCCAAATCTGGGATTCTCAGGGATATGTTTTGGACAGAAATATAGCTTAAAATGATTTGGGGGGCTGGGGTTGTGGCACAGTGGTAGAGCACTTGCCTAGCATGTGTGAGACACTGGATTTGATCCTCAGCACCACATAAAAATAAATAAAATAAAGGTCCGACAACTAAAAAAAAATTTAAAAAGATGATTTGGGCATGGTTAGAGTTTAGAATGAAGCATTCAGGCTTTTCCCACCCTCAACCTCTGTTGGGATAGAGACATCTGAGAACAGATCATCAGGGTGGGCAGTAGAAATAACCCTGGCCTGCCAGGCTGAGAACACAGATTTCAATTTGGGCCTTGTGTAACCTATCACTTTTTTAAAACTAGTGACTTTCTAGCTGTGAAATTAGTGTTCTTGCTTCTTAAATTAAAACACAAAAATCCTCTTCTATCATCCTCATTTTCCTCATTTGTAAAACAGATACAATGAGGTTTAAGGGAGACAATTATGTCAGGGAGTATAATTCAACATCTGGCACATAGGGAATACTCAGCAAATGAAACAGCCTTCCCCAAGTTCTAATGAACTCTTATTTCTTTAATTTTCAGCTATTCTAGAAGACAGGGAAGAAGGATTCTCCTTTTGGTTACCTACCACTGGCCTGTGGCTGCCATGCAGATGGATCCTGAGCTGGCCAAGCATCTCTTCTTTGAAGGGGCTACTGTGGTCATCCTGAACATGCCCAAGGGGACAGAGTTTGGCATTGACTACAATTCCTGGGAGGTGGGGCCTAAGTTCCGGGGTGTGAAGATGATTCCCCCGGGCATCCACTTCCTCCACTACAGCTCTGTAGACAAGGCCAATCCCAGGGAGGTTGGCCCTCGTATGGGCTTCTTTCTTAGCCTGCAGCAACGGGGGCTGACAGTTTTGCGCTGGAATGCCATCCGGGAAGAGGTAGACTTGTCCCCAGCCCCAGAGGCTGAAGTAGAAGCCATGAGGGCCAATCTTCCAGAGCTGGATCAATTTCTGGGTCCTTACCCATATGCGACTCTCAAAAAATGGATCTCACTCACCAACTTTGTTAGTGAGGCCACGATGGAGAAGCTACAACCTGAGAGCCGGCAGATCTGTGCCTTCTCAGATGTGCTGCCGGTTCTCTCCATGAAGCACACCAAGGATCGAGTGGGGCAGAACCTACCCCTCTGTGGCACTGAGTGTAAAAGCTACCAAGAGGGCCTGGCCCGGCTACCTGAAATGAAACCTAGAGCTGGGACAGAGATCCGCTTCTCGGAGCTACCCACACAGATGTTTCCAGCAGGTGCCACACCAGCAGAGATAACTAGGCACAGCATGGACCTAAGCTATGCCTTGGAGACTGTGCTTAACAAGCAGTTCCCCAGCAGCCCCCAGGATGTGCTTGGTGAGAAGCAGCAATGCTCTAGGAATGGGCCCAGGGAATGATGTTAGTATGGGTGTTTTAGAATAGGGGGTGAATCTTGGGTTTTCTAGTTCAGTGGTTCTTAAACCTAGGTGGGAGGTGGACTCACCCAGTATACTTGTTAAAGGTATAAATATATGTTTACCCTACTAGTTAAAGGTATAAATGTATGTTTACCCTTATCCTTGGAGAGTTTGAGTCAAGAGATAAGGAGTGGGACTCTAGCAATTTATCTTTCTGGCTAACTGGCCATCTTTCTATCTAATAAGCCCCTATGTGAACCTGTATTTGGGAACTACTGATATGATCTAGCCCTGTAGGGGGAAGGGATTTGGTTGACAGAGTGGTTAGACTGAGACCAGGGCATAGGGCTCCTGGTTCCTAGGCCAGATTTGTGCTCCTAATAGCCCCTGTGCCACCTTAGTTTCAGCATCAGTCTTTTAAGATACTGGTCTACTACTGTCTTAAAATTGGATAGTGGTTTTTATTTTAATTTTTGTCATTTTTATTGTTGCTTCCCCCCCCTTATTACAAAAAATACATATCATAAAAGAAAAAACAAAATTCACTTCACATCCTGCCTCCTAGAAATAACCATTTTCACATTTACTTTCCTTCTTTTTTCTCTGTATTTCTTTTTTTTAATATTTATTTTTTAGTTATAGTGGGCACAATGTCCTTATTTTATATTTATGTGGTGTCTTGAGGATTGAACCCAGTGCCTCACGCATGCTAGGTGAGCACTCTACCTCTGAGCCACAATCCCAGATCCTTTCTCTGTATTTCTTTGTGTTTCATTTTAATCTTTTCTCTATTTCTGAGTATTATAATCTTTTAAAAATTTAATTTCATGTTTAGGTATATTATGACTTTTTAAAAACAGTATTAAAGTATGTTACTTTGAAGTCAAAAACAAAACTTTTTTCATGTTAGTGAAAGGATCAGCCATTTTTAGTGGCTGGTTAGTGTTCAGTTCTCTGATGGATCTTCAAAAAGTTTCTTTATTTTTCTATTATGGATTTATGAACATCCTGTGTGTACTTACACATGTTTATGATTGTAATTGTTGGATCAGAATGTGCACATTACCAAGAAGAGATTTGCATCATCATTATCTGGTAGAAAGCTATTGCCCACCACCTTTGGATAGTATTGAACATGGTATTTTAGCAAAGTCCTCTTTGAATTAAATGGTTGAAAAGTGACAACTCATTTCTGTTTATATTTCTTCCAGTTGTCCAAGTAATGTGCATGTTTTCCTGTTGGAAAGTTGGTGAGAAATTTGATTACAGGGCTTTTTTTTTTTTTTCTCATTGACTCAGCTGATAACATAAAAGAACATTTTTTATATCTATTTTTTAATTGTAATTGGACACAATACCTTTATTTATTTATTTTTATGTGGTGCTTAGGATTGAACCCAGGGCCTCGCACGTGCTGGGCAAGTGCTATACCGCTGAGTCACAATCCCAGCCCATAAAAGAACATTTTTAATTGATATGTCTTCATGCATTACATACTATTTTCATGTAAAAAGTAACACTTGGAATCCTAGCTTAAAATGAATAGAAGTTCTGTTATCTACCTTGTAGGCTTTTCAATTTTTCAAAATACATCCTATGAAAAGATCTATTATAACAGGGATAGCTTTAAATCTGCATGACAGCTCCTTAAAAATATTTCTGATAGCATAATTTAATTGTAGGCAAGGTTGGGAATGTACAAATTTAAATATCCTAAATGCAAAGAATAGGTCAATATTTAGTTTCACAAATTAAACAGGTAAAGCCAACTAGAGAAGTAAATCATTGCACAAAGAAAATTTGACTGTAATTGGTGAAACATCCAAAACACCTAGACTAAGAAACTATTCACACAATTCAGACTTGGATACACAAGCTTGGGAGCTGGTTTTTCTAAAGGTGACAGATCAAATGCCATACATTTAAGGAGGTATTTGGTGTTGTGCTTATCTGTTCTTTTTTTTTTTTTTAAAGAGAGAGAGAGAATTTTAATATTTATTTTTTAGTTCTCGGCGGACACAACATCTTTTGTTTGTATGTGGTGCTGAGGATCGAACCCGGGCTGCACGCATGCCAGGCGAGCGCGCTACCGCTTGAGCCACATCCCCAGCCCCATTATCTGTTCTTTTTATGGCCCACATGTATCTACTCCTCATTAAATTTACAGCCACCTTGGAAACCAAAGAGAATGCCTTTGGTCAGCCATGATATATCTGTGGCAGCCAGAGACCCAGTTGCTTGCCCATGAACAGTGGCTTCTAGATCAGCAGATCTCTTATGTTTGAGACAGGCTTTCCTGGAAATTGGGAATAATAACTATTTTTTTTTTTTTTATTTCTGCTTTGGGCCAGGTTTTATGCTAAATGCTTTACAAGCACTACATTTATTGGTTTAATTTTTACTATAGCTCTCAAATAAGGAAATTGAGGCATAAATAGATTAAGAAATAGATTAAGTAACTTGCCCAAGGTCACACAGATGCTAAGTGGTAGAGCTAAGATTTGAATCCAGGCAGTTTGACTCCAGAGCCCATGCTCTTAGCCACTGAGCTGCTCTTAGAGATTAAATCACAGAGCCCTGTGATTAAATAAACAAAAATAAGCTGACTGGCAGGCTAGCCCTGGAATAAGTACTCACAAATTTTCCTGTTCTAAAAGTGTTCCCACCCATTAGAGAATCTCTTTTATCTTTCTGTTATTGATGTTGCAGAGCATTGGATGTATATGCAATCTTAGGCAAGTCTTTGACCTCATCTATAAAATGGGGAAATATCACTTTCCCTGATCACCTTGTGGAGATGGATTGAAGGTTTTATGGTGTAATGCTGCATTTCTCTGACCTCAAGCAGGGTCATCTGCATTGGAATCACCCAGGGAGCTTATTAGAGTTACAAATCTTCAGCCATCATGTCTCCTCAACCAAAATCTCTGAGGGTAAGACTTGGGCAGCTTCACTTTTAATGAGCTCCCCTAATTATTCTGGTGGGCAGCCAAATTTGAGATCCACATATTTTGTAAACTTTTACAATGCCAGGAAAGTACTAGGAAAACCTTTTATCTTGCATTCAGATTTTACAGAACTCCAAAGCAGTTTAGTCTCCCATAGCTTGAATTTATAGCGTTTAGCAAATATTTACCAAGTACCTACTAGGTGTAAAATCCTGTACTAGCCTCTGCTGGAATGCCAGAATAGAAGACCTCCTTATTGCTGAGTTCAGTGGAATTGATGGTCTTGTGAACCACACAGGGTAGAGTCAACTGGTGCTCCTCACCCTTAGGATCATTTCTGTTCTCTACACCTTTCAGGTGAACTCCAGTTTGCCTTTGTGTGCTTCCTGCTGGGTAACGTGTATGAAGCATTTGAGCATTGGAAGCGGCTTCTGAATCTCCTTTGCCGATCAGAAGCAGCCATGGTAAAGCATCACACCCTGTACATCAACCTCATCTCCATCCTGTACCACCAGCTTGGTGAGATCCCTGCCGACTTCTTTGTGGACATTGTCTCCCAAGACAACTTCCTTACCAGTACTTTACAGGTGAGCAGTCTTTTGGCTGATACCCATGTGGGTCAGAATAAAGGCAAGGGTATAAAAGCATCCTAAAGAAGATTACCTTACTGTTCCTTGCTGTTCTTCCATGACCCAAAAGTTTCTTAATTGCATTCCCATTGTTGAGGTGTTTCCTGGTTCTCTTCTACTCTCTTCTATACTAGAGGCGCTGTCCCTATACCACCTTCTCCCACCTCATTCCCAGAGGGCCTAGCATTGGGGTACTTGGAATTTGAATCTTCTTCACCTCTTTGGGTTACCCAGCTGTATCATCAGTCAGTTTTTTATCTGAGGAAGACTACTAAGTGAAGAAAAAGAGATTTATTTGTGCAAGGTATTGGAGGCTGAAAGTCCAAGATGGGGCAACACTATTGTCTTGGCCTCTGGTGAGGGCTTAACAACAGAAGGCCTCATGGTGGGAGCACATACAGGAGAAAGAGATCGCCTCCAGACAGGAAGCCAGAGAGTATAGGGCATGGCTGAACTTATTCTTTTATATCATCTCACAAGAATTACATTAATCTTCAAGAGCACTACCCTAGTGACCTAAGGACCTCCTGCTAGGCCCTGCGTCTTAACATTGCCACACTGGGACCAAGCTTCCAATACATGTGGTTTGGACAAACCACATCCAAACAAGAGCAAAACAGCTTTTCTTTCTCCCTGTAGCTGTGAATTGCTACAACCCAATAGGGCAGAGTTTTGAAGCTTGTTATTCCCAGTGAAACATCTGCAGCTCCTTAGATCTCATTTAAGCATTAAAGTAACTTTGATTTCCTGTTCAAACAAAATGTGCCAGTTTCTGCAGAGATTCTCTGACAGAAAAAGTGAAATTTGCTTTTAACTTGGCAATTAAATTTTCATTATGAGTGGTAATTAGGGAAGAAGCTTCAAACAACTTACAATCTTCATCCTGTGCTATTTCTTCCCTTTGCAAACAGATTAGTTTCCTTTATGTACTTGGGACAGCCTCTGTCACTCATATTTTGTGACTTTCTCAAGTATAGAAGAGGAAGAAGCAGCTTGCTGTCAGTTTCCATACTTTTTCTCCCATGAGCTGCTTTCTTCTTCCCATGAGTGAGACCCCTTTGAGGCCTATTCCATACAAGGTGGCTCCTCATTGACCTCCCACTCCCATCCAGGGTAAGGGAGGAAACTAGCATCCACTAAATGCCTATTGGTCTCAGGCATCAAGTTTATCATGTTATATGGGTTCCTTCATTTAATCTCTTTGGAATCCTGTAAGGCAGAGGGATTATTCCCATTTTACAAATGAAAAACAGATTCAGAAAGGTTAAATCACTTACTTAAGGTCACACGGCTGGCCAGGGGAAGTCAGGATTCATACACATGCTTGTGACTTTGGTGCATATTCTTGTGCCCCCATTGTATTGAAAGTAGTATAGATTTCCTAGAAGGACACCTGATTGACATTGGTGAAGACACCATCGGGGCATGTTTCTCAGAGATACAAAACACTTTTCTAAAACTAACAGGCTATTGGAAAAGTTCCTGTGAGTAGGCACCTGACTTGAAACTCTGGTAGTTGGAGGACCATGGAGATGAGTCAGTAGGCTGATGACTTAAGCCTGGTGCATTCCACTTCAGAAAAATTATAAAATTGCCCTTTTATTGGTTCTTGATATAACAAGAGATATTAAATCTCTTTATTCTTCCTCTATGGGACCCCACACCTCACCCTCAAAGTTACTGGTCCTGGCTTGCATGTAAGGAGACCTCCAGCAGTGACTACAGCCAAAGGGAGTAATTTTCTGCCTTTGCATTGTGAGTGGATACTGTTGCACAAATATAGGAGGGCCACAGTGCCATGGCTGTCCCTGTCAGCAGAAGCAGCAGCTGAGCTCTTGTTGCTGAGGCTTTATTGTCAGCAATGATCAACAAAGCAGACAGAGCCCAGCTGGATTGCTAGATACCCAGGTGAATTGGGAAGGCTGATAGTTGGAAAAATTCTGTTTGGACTTTTCACCAAGACAATTTGATATCATTATTTGGAAAAATTCAGGACATGTGCCTTTAAAGAAATACATCAGCAAATGGTTTTGATCATTCTTTGTATACAACTGATTGTATTGAGGAATACATGTTGGAGTTAGCCAGGGTTCTTGCCTTCAAGGGATTCGTTCATGGATTTAGTGGTCATTGACTGAGCACCTGATCTATACAAGGCTCTGTTCTAGAAATGGGAATATAACCTCAAGCAAGAGTTTCTAATGTATAACTTAATTTTGATGGAAAAGTAAACAGATGAATTAACCAAGTAACTCCAGATACAAATGCATTTTAGAAGGCAGTCCTGCCCCCCACACCATTGCCCTAGCCCAGGCCTTTTGTTCTTCCCTAGATTACATCAGTCTTCAGTCTCCCTGGTTAGCCCATTTGTCACTGCCATCTGAGTTGCTCCAAAATACAGATCTGATCCTACTTCTCAGTGGCTCCTCATTGCATAGAAAATTAAAAGTCCAAACATAGTCCCAGGGCCCATTCTGATGTGGCTCTTACCCTGTTTTCCAGTTTCTCCTTTCTCTCCCTGTTTTACCCATGAATCTAGTACTAGTGGTGGTCTCCTTACAGGTTCCCAGACAATCAAACCATGTTTCATGCCTTTTTTTTTTTAAGAGGTGGAAGTCTCACTGAGTTTCTCAGGCTGGCCTTAAACTCCTGTGGTTCTCCTGCCTTAGCTCCAGAATAGCTAGGACAACAGGTGTGCACCACCAGGCCCAGTACTGCCTTTTTTATATATTATAAAAAGCACATCACCTGACATTTACCTTCTTAACAGATTTTTTAAAATTACCTTTTTCTTTATTTACTTTATTTATTTATTTTTTATGTAGTGCTAAGGATCAAACCCAGTACCTCACAAGTGTGAGGCAAGCGCTCTACCGCTAAGTTATAACCCCAGCCCCTAATTACCTTTATTTTTTTTTTAGTTTAATTTGTTTATGTGGTGCTAACGATCGAACCCAGTGCCCCAAGCATGCTAGGAAGTACTCTGCCACTGAGCCACAACCCCAGCCCTCTTTAACAGATTTTTAAGTGTTTGGTATTATTAATCATAAGCATAATGTTGTCCAGAAGATCGCTAGAACTTTTTCAAATTGCATAACTGAAACTTGGCTTTCATTTTTTCTGCCTTCTGGACTGAACCTGGACTGAACCTGGACTTCTCTCTACCTGATGTATATTTGCTCATCCTGCAGCATCCCTCTCTGTGAGGCCAGCCCTCATCTCCCTCCTTTCCATACTCTTAGCCTGCTTTGGACTTTTGCCTAGTATATTGCATGGCTTGTTCTTCCTGGAATTATTATTTTCTGCTTGACACCCCCAACAAGCTATGAACTCCCTTTACACAAAGCCTATTTTTTTTTTTAATCTGGTTATTTTCAGCACCTAGTCAAGGCCTACCACTTATCTCACTTTTTGTTATTGGTTGTTGTTAGATGGAAAAAATGCATAGTTCCCGTGGCAATATAAATACCATAAATATAAACGGTGAAGTTTGATCAAAGGGCATTAGGATCACGAAAGAGGGAGTGATTAATTCTGACTGGGATTGAGATTGAAGGGTTAGAGGATCGGGAATGGCTTTATGTAAAGAGGGACATTTGACCATGATCGTGAAGGATGATTGATACTTCAAAAGTCACAGTGTGAACAAGGGTATTGTAAAACTTTTTATTATTTTTTTTTTTAATGGAGAGTCACATTGATGCCATCTTGGCAGTAAGAATCTAGTCCTCTACACAGAGGCATTCAGTCAGGGTGTTTGTGACTGAATGAATCAGCCCATAAAAGCCTTCCTCAGCTAGCAGCCTGCTCTCACCCCAGGTAGTCAAGTAAGTGGAGTTGGCTTCCTTACTTAGGAGCTTAAATGGCTATTGCCCATGGAGAGGGACTGGTGTTTGTATGTGTAAGCACTTAAAGACATTAAAGACAGCTGCATTAGCATGGATAAAATCAGCCCCATAATGGCCTCAACCATTATTTTTTTTTCATCTTTCCCATATGAGTAGATGCCATTGGTTTTTACAAATCCCTTGGATTTAGTTTGAATAAAAATTATTTGTTTTACAAAAATAGATGCAGTTTTATATAAAGTAACTTAAATCACCATAATTTGTTTAAAACCAGTGAAGGGATAATCTGAATTTAATAGCAGTATGTTAGAAAGAGTTATGTACAAATAAGGATTCTTATTGCTGGTTGTATAGCATTTAGGCATATAGTCATAAAACGTGTTTTTTTTTTTTAGTCTTAGTAGACCACAAATGCTTTCCAGCTTAAGGTCTTGCCAGTACTCTGGATGCTAATGTCCATCTCTGACCTTAAGGAAAACATTGACTCTAACAGTGATGTCTGTAGTATTTTTATCATAACACCAGCTATGATGAATTTACCTACTGATTTTTATACCTTCTTTCTTCAAATGCTGCTTTGATGCTCAGTGTTGCCTCATTTAGCCTTCACAACAATCCTAGAAGTTAACCATATAATCCTATCATACAAATGAGGAAACAGCCTGAGAGAGACCATACAATTTTGTCCACCATTATTTCGTAGCTAGTGTATGACAAGGCTGAGCTGTGGGTTCTAAAGCCTATGCTCCCTTATATGCTTAGAGCCCCAGATGAAACATCCTAAATTCTTTTAAACTGTTCTCAGAAGTCATGATTCCTGTTGCTTTTCATCTTTCTGGTCATCACTGACAAGTGTGATAGTCTTATGTTTAACACCACTTCCTCTAATAAAATGTTATACTTCTAGCTAGTTTCATTCTAATTTAATAATCATTCGGGTACTGAAAAAACTAGGAAATTTCTTTTCTTTTTCTTTTTTTTTTTTTTGGTCTAGCCAATGAGGTAAAATAGCAACTCAGTTAGCTACTTTGATATTTTGAATTTCTCACGGTGACCTGACTGAACTCAATTTATTTAACCTGGGTTTAAAAAAAAAAAAAAAGCTTTCAC